CCGGGCGGAACCCTTCCCGCTCCTCGGCCGGAAGACGCTCCAGCCTGCAAACTTTGCCTTTGCAAAGTTTAAGCCTGGAAGCCCCGGAAAAAAAAGGGGGATCGGCGGGGACTCACCTTCGGAGAGGTCGCACTCGAAGGTGATTTCGAACTCCCAGCCGAGGCCTTTGCAAAGTTCTTCTTTTCTTTCCTACCCCGAGAGCGCTCCGCACTGTTTTGCAGCTTTGGGGGCCACGCGGCGCAGGGCAATACGCCACGCCCAGCGATTTTTTTTCAGGGGCGGGCTGGATTGGACAGACCAACGGGCCAGATGTGGCCCGCGGGCCGTAGTTTGCCCACCCCTGTGCTAGAGCCTCCCAGGGAATTCTGGGAGTCGAAGTCCGCAGGTCTTAAAAGGAGCCACAGTTCCCCCCCCCACCCCCCACCCTCCTTCTAAGGCCAATTTGGATCCGCAAATGTTTGGTCTGCACTGGAGGAAGACAGAAGATGCCAAAGGACACTTTTAGCAAATTCTTTTATTGCTTTGAACTAACGGGAATATGTATGTGTGTGTGTGTGTGTGTGTGTGTGTGTGTGTACGCGCGCTAACATAAACTGTGATACAACATCAACATAAGTGGAGGGAAAAGAAGAAAAACTAAATCCTGAACAGAAACACTGCTCAGAATCCAGCAGGGGATTCATTCTGCTGGTTGTGCTTTTAAGCAACTTAGGCAAGGATGAGACCACAGGTGTCTAACCGTTGGGATTTTAAGCCGTGTGGACTTCAACTCCCAGAATCCCTAGAGCCTCCCAGGGAATTCTGGGAGTTGAAGTCCACACGTCTTAAAAGCTCCTAGCTTGGACCCCCCCCTGGATTAGAAGGAGCAATTTATTCCATGCACCCTGAGTAGCACCCCCAGACCCTGAACAGTGATCCCCCTCCCACACCAAGACCAAGCAGGGACCCCGGCAGAGACCCCCCCAAAGGGACTTCCGGTGTGAGTCGGAGGGCAGAACCCACTGCCAAGCAGGGACGCAGCCTGTAAACTGGTAAAAAGACGACTGACGCCCAATAGTCCTCGACTTACGACTGCAATTGAGCCCTGTTGCTGAGTGAGTTTTGACCCTTTTCTACGTCCTTTCCTGCCCCGAGTTGCTAAGTGACTCCCTGCAATGCTTCATCCCACGGCTCTTAAGTGAACCTGGGCTCCCCGTGGACGGTTTAAAAGCCAGGAGAGTTCCTCAACTTACGACCAGAATCAAGCCCCAAATTTCTGTTGCTGAGCAAGACCGTTGTGAAGTGAATTTTTGCCCCGTTTCATGACCCTCCTTGGCACAGTTGTGTCACTGCCGTTGTTAAGTTAGTCAGCTGGTTGTTAAGTGAATCTGGCTTGGCCCTTGGCGGAAGGGGATCGTGGGAGTGGGAGACTGCAGCCCGTCGTAAATACGAGTCGGTTGCCAAGCATCTCAAGCTTGATCACGTGATCACGGGGATCGTAAGTGTGAAAACTGGTCGTAAGTCCAAACCATCACTAAGTCGAGGACTCCCTGTATCAATATCCAAATAGTAGGCAGAAGAGAATAGTCCCATCCTTTGGACCGCCCTGCTCCCATCCTGCTCTGCCAATCTGCCTCTTACAGATGAACAGAGTCGGAAGGGACCTTGTAGGTCATCTAGTCCAACCCCCTGCCCAAGCACCCTTTCTGACGTTGGTGGTCCCCAAACCCACCCCAAACCCTCCCAAAAAAGCACCACGAGGGCTGGAGAGAAGGAAACCCGGTGCCCACATCCCGCTGGTAGTAACGGGGCACCCGCCTTGGGGGGGGGGGTTCTACAGTGGGGTTCTGACCCGAGGATCCATGCCAAGAAGGGCCTGCCAGGAGGGTCTTGTGGGCACCACTGGGGGCACTGCACCCCTTGGCAAGGCCGGTGGGGCTCAGCGCCCCCCCAGATCACAGTCAAACTCCAAGAAGGCAGCGGGGTCTGCGGGAGGCCTCTGGAGTTGCTGCCAGCCCAGGGCGAAATCTGCCGGTTGCTTCCTGAGGGTGTCGGCGTCGAAGCTCATGCCGCGGAAGAAGAGGTGGGCGCGGAAGTGGTGGAGACGGCAGGGGCGGCGCTGAGGGTCCTGCCACAGGAGCTTGGAGGGGAGAGAGAGGAAGGCAGGGGGTGGTTTACCTGGCATCCCCCTGGATCAGGGGGTCTCCCACCTTGGCCCCTTTAAGACTTGGGGACTTCAACTCCCAGAATTCAACTTGAAGGCTTGTAGACTTCCAGAATTCCTCAGCCAGCTGGCTGAGGAATTCTGGGAGTTGAAGTCTACCAGTCTTAAAGGGGCCAAGATTGGAGACCCCTGACCTGGCTGATGCTGTCCTAAGTAGGAATTGTTCAGACGTGGGGCCTTCCTCAATTCTGGGAGGCGGGGGGGGGGATGTAGTTGGGTGTGTGTGCAAGCTGCACACTTTCTCCAGCTTACCCAGGACCCCCGTTCCACCCGCCCCATTTGAAGACTCCTCTGGCCCCATAGATTTCAGGGGTAAGATTTGGAGGGTGGGGAGAAGGGCGTCCAGGGAGGAGGAGGAGGATGGCAATGGGTTGGGGGCCTCGGAGGGGGCAGTGGGGAAACTCACCTCGCTGAGCAGGAGACGGAGGCCCCGGCTGAGCCCAGCCGGGATGGTGTAGGCGCTGCGTTTCACACTCCGCAGCATGGCCAGGTGGTCTCGCTCCGGGGGGACGGGGAACTGGGGAGGCAAAGACCCCGTTCACCCCGTGCCCCTCGGGCTACTCAGCCCCCCCCCAACAAGCAGGTGGGCAGCAGACCCCTCCCCTCAACTCCCTGGCCACGGTATTGAGGGCCAGCCAGGCAGAAGGTGGCATTGGCACCGAAGAGGCTTAAACAAACCAGAGTGGAACCGTGACGGCTCAGCCCCTGCTGCACCCCTCTCTCTTTGGCCCTGATCGTAGAATTCTAGGCACCCTGGAGGTCATCCAGCCCAACCCCCCTGCCCTAGGTAAGAGTCCTCATTGTCTGATCTTGAAAACCTGCAGCGATCTCCCATGGCTGGCTGGCTGGTGGTGGAGGCAGGTTCCTGGGGTACCAAGACCACCCCCCTCCAATTCCTTACCTGCCCAGTGGCCATCGCAAACAGCAGCACCCCCAGGGACCACCACTCGGCGGCGTGCGCATACGGACCACCGCTCAGCACTTCTGGGGCTGCCCCAAAGGAAGAGCAGAGGGTCACGGATCTCGGCTGCCCGGCTGCCCCCCGCCCGTCCTGCCGACCCCCTTACCCATGTACTGGAGGGTCCCACAGATGGTGAAGGCTCGCCTGCCCCACGGCAGATGCCGCGAGAGGCCGAAATCGGCCAGCTTCAGGTGACCTGGGCCAGGTGGGGCAGGAAAGAGAGAGAGAGAGAGATCAACGACAGGCAAGTCCTCAACTTATGACCATAACGGAGCCCGACATTTCTGTTGCGAAGCGAGACATTCCTTGGGTTTTCCCCATCTTAGGACCCTTTTTGCCACCACTGTTAAGTGAATCACTGCGGCTGTTAAGTGGATAGCACAGTCCTTAAGCGAATCCGGCTTCCCCACAGCTGCTCAGAAGGTCGCAAGAGGGGATCACATGACTGTCACAACATTTATCATCATAAATGGGAGTCACTTGCCAAGCATCTGGATTTTGATCACATGACCACAAGGGAGGCTGCAACGGTTGTTAAGTGTGAAAAACGGTCCTAAGTCACTCTTTTCCGTGCCGTTGTTAGCTTTGAATGGTCACTAAAGGAACCGTTATAAGTTGAGGACCACCTAACTTGACCTGTGAACTTCAGCTGCCTGAATTCCTGAGCCTTCGAGGTACGACCTTCATGGAGCCCACCCACGACGGTCGAAAGTCTTCACAGTGGTAAAAATGTGTAATGTTAAAAAGTTGCAGCTGTCGTTAAACGGACGCTGCGTCGCTAAGCGAAAGCCACAGGCACAGTTTTGCTGGAAACCAGAAGGACCTGCCCGTTTTCAGCAGAACTTTCCCAAGATGCGCTTACAGGACTGCGGGACGCTGCAAACAGTCGAGCATCTGAAGTGAGGTCACATGACCACAGAGGGAGCCCAACAGTCAGAGTCATAAGTCCACTTTTGAGGTGGGGGGGGGGTTGGTCGTAACTTTGAATCATGGCTGGTGTTGTGGTTCGCTGGCAGCCTGTGCAGATGGCAGCGGAATCAGACAGTGGGGAAGAATGGAGACGAGTCCGGGAGTCTGGACTCGCACGAGGGTCCTGCGTCCGAGGCAGAGGTGGGGCCAGAACCATCTGGGAGTGGGGGGCTGCCTCTGGAGCCTGGCCGCAGCGAGGAAGAGGACCCTGGGGAGCCTGTTCCCAATACGCGTGTGCACAGAGCTGCTAGAAGGCGAGAGCAGCTGAAGCGGAAGGGGCAACTCGGGAGGAAGGCTGGGAGGTGATTGCCCCTCCCATAAGGGATAAAGGACAGGCAAAGGTAGAGAAACCTTTGCAGGAAGCAAAGTCGTTCGATTGGTTCAGACTCATTTTTGAAGTTCTGTGTACTTCGGTGGGTTTTTTTCCCGAGTTCACTTCTGTTCTTGGCAGCACTTCACAGGGAAGAAAGGTGGGTGCTTATCTCGAGGAACTGTTTGAGGTTCATTACCGGCTGGGGATGAAAATAATTCCCAGCGTTGCACTAAAACAAGACTCGTTTTTAAAATAAGCGTGGGCGTAATTACGGTCTCCGAATCCTTGGTCAGAACAGCTGGGGTCTCTCGGAATGGGCTGGACCAGGGATCCAGGGAGTCCTCAGGTGGTCAAGTCGGCATAATTCCCAGGGGGCTCCTGGCCGAAGGGGGAGCCTCTGCTTTTGCCGCCCATGCGTGGGGAGGGCGAGAGAGAGAGAGAGAGAGAGGAGTCCCTCTTCCAATCCGGAGCGTGGACTTCCTGGGCTGGAGAACAGCTGGTTCAGCAGCTGGTTTAAGACCGGCGGCATCCCGGCACCACGGGGACCGGCCACGTGCCTCCCACAGCTTTTCCCGCTGCCAGACTGGGATTCCACTTACTGCCAGTCCCTGCAGCTGAGTCGGCCCTCTAACAAGGCCCCCAAATGAGGCTGGGAGGCCGGCCGAAGCCCCCTCCCCTCCTCCCGGCCCCCCCCTCCCCCACCGTTACCTTGTTCATCCAAAAGGATGTTTTCCATCTGCAAAGAAAGCGAAAAGGAAACCTGAGCCCAAAAGAAGCAGCGGAGCCCGGATTTCATTTCCCGCACCTCCTCCTTGTGGGGCCGAGAATGAAGCCACGGCGGGGCGACTGGTTGGTTAGGGGGCTGCCAGCTTGGGGGAGGGGATGGGGGGAGCAAGTGCTTTGCAGCCAGTTGAGAAGGAGGCCGCCCTCCTGCCCGGCCCCTGGGCCCACTCCAGGAGACGAGGCGAGGGTCCCGTACCTTGATGTCCCTGTGCACGATACCCTGGTTGTGAAGATAGGCTGCGAAGGAAAACAGCATCGTTAAAGGAGAATATTTGTAGCTCAGGGTTGAAATGAGTGTGGTTGTATTCTTGTAAGACGTCTCATGACCCAACTAGGGAACATCATCACTCCTGCAAGGGAGCGGGGTTTGGGGAGAAGTGGAGGAGGAGAAGGAAGATGAAGAAGATGAAGAAGAGGAGGAGGAGGAGGATGGCTATGGGGTCCTTGGTGCTTTCTGATCTTGATTGTTTCCTTGAAGACGTCTCATGACTGAACTAGGTAATGTCATCAGTGTTAAAAGGGAGGGGGATTTGCCCTCAATTTACTTTTCTTTACTATGATGATGATGAGGTTCCCTCGATGGGTCACGAAACGTCTGCAAGGAAACCATCCGGCTCAGAGCGCCCCATAATCCCAGCCTCTTCCAGATGTCAGGCAGGTGTGGTGGAACTTCAAAAGTCACCACATCGCCATGGTCATGGGATCCGAATTTGGGGTGCTTGCCAAACAGCCCGCAGTTATGACCGTTCCGGCATCCGAGGATCACCTGATTGCCAGGGGCGACTTTCCGACCAGCCAGCCCAAAGTCCATCCAAAGTGAAGACGGCCTGATTCCGTTAACAAATGCAATGATCCGTTTAACAGCTGCAGCACAAGAGGTTGCACAGTGGGGCAACACTCACTTAGCAACGGTCTCGGCTATTTCAATAGGAAATTTGGGGCTCACGTGAGGACTAGCTATATGCCGTCCGCTTCTGGCAATTGATTTTTATGATGACGGTGATCACAATTCATCACTTATAGCTTTTATGTACAATGAGAGCTTATGCACTGAAGACAAATTCCTGGCGTGTCCAATCACACTTGGCCTATAAAGAATTATTTTATTATTATTATATTATTATTATTTATGTTTGTATTAAGCGCGGTGCTGCGGTGGCCTAGAGGCGGAGCACTTCCCAATCAGGAGGCTGTGAGTTCGATCCTAGTTAGGGGCAATATATTTCTCTCTCTGGGCACGCTAAGAATATATCTGCTGAACAAAACTCCGTATCGGTGACAGGAAGAGCATCCGGCCATTCCAACACTCGGCTAATTCCATTCAGTTGCCCAGACGTCCCCCTTGCAAGGGATTATGGGGCCATTAAATGAAGATGATGGTGATTAATGCTTCCATTAAGTGGGGCTGCACCTCCAGAGGGCACTGCCCTTGGCACTGCCCCACTTAATACGATAAACGGTTTATAATAATACCCGTCATTATAATAAAAGGTTTATAATACCAGGTAGATAAACCAGCATAAAAATAAGGCTATAGGGTTGAGGTCGCTGCCAGGTCATCTCGGGGGGGGCAGCCCAGAGAGGGAGGGGGTTTGCACTGCAGCATCTGGGGGCAGCCCCTCACTCACCCAACACCAGCACCAGCTCCGTGGCGAAGAGTCGGAGGGCGCCTTCGGCCAAGGGTCCCGACGATTTCCAAAGTGTGAAGAGGTCGCCGGAGCTGCAGTAGCCGCACACTGGAAGGCATGGGGGGGGGGGGGGGGAGACAGAGCCCCCCCCCCGGAGGGCCGGGGGGGGGGCGGGGGGGGGGGGGGTCCCCACCCCCCCCAACCCCCCCCCCCCCCCCCCCAGGCAGCTGCTCACTCACTAATGAAGAGATGGTGCTTCCCCTGCCAGCTCTCTCCTAAACAGTGGAGGAACGGGTGGTGCACCTGCCTCTGGGGAAGGAAGAGAAAGGGGGGGGGGGTCAGGAGCCAGCCAGACTTGGGGGGGGGGGGGGGGGTCACTACGGGGGGGAGGGGGTGGCTGTGTAGAATGAGGCTGGGGGCTTAAAAGAAAAGGACCACCCCGGTTTGAAATAGTAAAAGGGGTTTGCGAGAAATCTGCAGATGCGCTGTAGAGCGTACTCCGTGGAAAGGTGGGATGATTTCAGGTGAGCGTTTCTTGGGGGGGGGGGAGAGGGGGCTTCCTCTATCTGGGATCCTCCCCTACCCCAGATGCGCACTGGGTAAAAAAACAGGGGTGTCCAAGCTTGGCAACTGTTAAGGTTTCAACTCCCAGAATTCCCCAGGGGAGTCCAACCTTAACAAGTGGAAGACTGGTGGACTACAAATCCCAGGATCTGGGAATTCTGGGAGTTGCTGTCCACGGGGTTTTCCAGTTGCTAAGGTTCCCCTCCCCCCCCCCCCCCTTTAAAACCTTGCAGACTTCACGTAAGGACCAGCTCTCGCCTCACAATCAGGAGGCTGCGAGTTTGATCCTCGTTAGAGGCAGGTATTTCTTTCACAATGAGAATATTATCTGCTGAATATAACTCCGCATTGGTGACAGGGAGGGCATCCAGCCAGTAAAACACTCCGCTAGCTTCATTCAGTTGCCCAGACTCCGCCCTGCAAGGGATTATGGAGTTGTTAAAACAAGGATGACGTAACAGCCCCCCTTCAAGCTGTGCATCATTGGGCCAGGGATAGAATCCATGGGGCACTGCCTTTAGGACCAGCACCTCCAGAGTGACTGGCGTGCCCCTTCTCACTGGCCTTTGGTGCATCATAAAAGTCCAGTGTTTGCCTTGAAAGTCACTCCCTGTGCTGTAATTTAATTATTGCAACCTGCAGGGAATATTGAAATGCGTATATAGGAAATAGGGGAGCTTTAGCACCCGGGGTCTGGTAAATTCGCACGCGTGGCACCGTTCTCTTCTCCCTGCCTTTGTCACCCCCCTGCCCGAGTCGCCTTTCACACGGAGAGAGAGGCAACAGAGGTTTAATAAGTTCAGGAAATGAAAATAAAAGCTATCAAATAACAAAGCCTTATTGATGAGCGATCAATTTCAATTATGCGCTATCAGATTTCCAGTCCGGCCTTAGGCCTGAAAGCCGGCTGGGTGACTTTGGGTCAACCACCAGGAGGTGGGGAGTTCTAGTGCCGCTTTAGGACCCAGCCCCCCCCCCCAAATCAGCCCCCCGAAAGACCCCCAGCCTCACCTGGATGCTGACCTCCTCTTTGCACTGCCTCACGCTGTCCCTGCGCAGCACCTCCATTTTGGGCACCACCTGTGGGGGACACATGGGGGGGGGGGGGGGGTGAGGGGGCGGCGGGAGTTGGGGGTGGGTGGGTGGGAGGCGGAAGGGGGGCCCACCTTCAGCGCAAAGACTTTCGCCTGGGAGCTGTCCAGCACTTTCAGGACGGTGCCAAAGGCTCCCTTGGACAGGAAGCCCAGAATCTGGAGGGAAAGAGAGAGAGGCGAAGGGGTGAGGGCTCAGCCCCTTCCCCACCCCCACGAGACCCCTCCCCACCTCCTGCACCCGGGCACCCACCTTGAGTTGCTGCTGCAGTGGAGGCTGGACGGGAAACTCGGGCAGGAAGAGCGAGGCGTGGGGGGCCGCTGGCCACGCCTCCCCCGCCCTCTCGGGGGTCTCCTCATCCCCCTGCGCCAGCTCTCCCTTTGGGGGGCTTCGGGGGCCCAGGGCCTGCTCCAGAGTCCCACCCAGGTGGGAGAGGAGGCGTTTCCAGCTTCGTGCCCACAAAGCGTCCGGCAGGGCACCCGCCCCGTGGCCCTGCGGAGGGGACAGGGGTGCGTGAGGGGCTCTGCCTGACGTGGGACCCCCCCCCAACAAGGGTCAATGGGAGAGGGGAAAAAACCCACCTCCCCTCCCCCCGCCCCATATCCTGCTCCCACCCCGCCCGTCTTTTAATGGGCCGTCGTGTTTGGGAGGTCAGGATTCCAGCAGCGACCCCCAATTAAATCATCAGTCTCTTCCAAACTTCCAAAACTTCCAAAGGATTTATTGGGAGTTAACATGCCAGCACTGCTTGACACATCATCTTGAGACACATCATTCACTGTCACCCTTGACCCTGGTTTCCCCCCTCCCCCAACCCCTGAGTGTGTCATAATTCATATCCTCCAATGGGATACATCCCTAGCCCAGAGTCATCCATCAGGCTCTCCAGTTCGAATTTTGCCCTGCAGAAACTTCAGTCCCCTAGTTACTATCTTTGAAAAAAAAAACATGGATGGAATGCACTTTCCATTTCCAAGCTGCCAGGCTGCTCTCTTTCTGTTATGGCAGCTCTAAAAAGACCCCAGCAATATTTGAGGAGTTGACATTGGATTTTGCATTATTAACTTGCATTTTTAATTTATATAGGTGTTTTTTTTATGATTGCAAAACACCAAGAGTTATCTTGAGGTAAGGTGGGGAAGCCTATACATTTTATTGTTGTTGTTGTTGTTATTATTATTATTATTATTATTATTTTATTATTATTTTATTATTGTTGTTGTTGTTGTTTTATTAATACAGACTGACAAAGTTTTGGAACACAATACCCCGGATATCACGATTGTGGAGAAGAAAAAAGTGTGGATCGTCGACAT